CAAGCAGGTTTTAATCTTTTAAACTTCCATTGTCAGTGCTGAGATGGTCTTGCCCAAAGCCACCCTCCATGTTCCCTTGAATAGCTGCAAGGAAACTAGGGCAGGTAACCTTAGCTCAAGGGGTGACTGGCAGGAGAGGCCTGCCCGATTTTTTGTAATGGTTCCTCCTCACTCTACAGATTAGGCTGTTACCATGGGAAGTCAGTTTTCCATGTGTAAAAACAACACACAGCCATTGGCTATGGGCAGCTATCTTAGCACAGATGATGTTGTGCATGGCTGAGCAGAGACAGGGAGAACCTGAGTAACTAATGACCTCTCTGAACAACAGATCATCCAGTCAGACTCTAGCTTTGGACTCTTGAGTGTGAGCCACTCTATTTTCTGTTAGGAGTGAGGTGGGTTTCCTTTATCTGCAGCTTGACTCACTGTAAGATATATGCATTTATTCATGTGTAAAATTGCTAAGAGAGTAAGTACAGTATGGTTCTACTTTTGATAATGTATCTATTAAAATACATGTGCAAATATGCCAAAATGTTCATAGTAGTAGTAATCTCTGATAGAAATTTTTTTTCTATGTTCTTCATGTTCTTAATAATAAGTATGATTTGGGCGACCAGATTTTTCCTTACATTCTTCCCTTGCTTTATTGCCAAACTTTAAAAAATTTATTGAAAGTTATTATTTCATGAAGATATTCAAATGTGGCCCTTCTCCTGGCCATGACTGGCTACAAAGCTGCACTTGCAACTCTCCAAATCTAAATCTACTTGTGTGGCTGCCCACCTGTAAGGACCTTTCTAGGGCAAACCTCAAGAGGCTGGAACCTTGAAAGGGCTCAGTTCACTCTTGAGAATCTTCAACAGTAGTACATCCCTGCTCAGTCTTGCCACTGAATGAGACTTCAGGCAAAGCACTCTTCCCTCTGCCTAGATCAATGAAGAGGTTGAACTTGAGCTCTAATATCACCCTTTCTAAACTCAAAGTAGAGTAACTGAGCATATGAGAAAAGAGCAAAAAGTTTATTGTGTTGAGTAGACCTTATTTTCATTATAGTATCAGGGAATTCATTTTCTGATTTCAGTTGCAGAAGATTCTGTAGACACTTAAAATCCCAATGCTTGTTCCCGAGCAAGGGATAGCACCTGAACACTCTGCTGCATTTAATGGGATTACATTAAAATAGAGTATTTATAAAGAAGATATGTAAAGTACATAGTTACTTTAAAAATGCTAACATATTCGTCTATTTTGTCTTTTTATTACCATGGATAATAGATTGGAAAACATGGTAGTTGATCACCTTTTGCTCTACTTTTTATTTTTTTTTCCCCAAAAGAAGGAATAATGCCCATTTCTCCAGAAATTTATTAGTGGCAAGCAAGGCAATGTGTAAAATACAGGTAAGATGAAGGTTTAGCTCTGTACCCTATGTGCAATTTTCCACATTGTAGGTAACTGGGAAAGACACGGCTCCTTGTTTCCAAAATCATCACCATGGAGTTTAAACTTTGCAGAATACTACTGGAGCACTTGGATCTGCATAAGCAGTTTCACAGCTAATTTTGTGGCTTGTTTTTAAAATAAAGTATCAGCATTCAATGATGCCCTGAAGAATCTCCTTGATTCTCTGACTCAATACCACTATCGCCACCCAGAAGCATAGGCTAGCCCACGTTGCTCCTTCCAAGATGATAGATAGCAGTTTCTGTATTATACACAGAAATCAAATAGCAATTAAGGAATGAGAAATGTGTGTTCTCCACACAATCAATAACTGAGTTAATAAGGTCTAACTTGCTTGAACTCCACCAGGTAATTAGCACAATTCTTACAATCTTAGCCACACTGTGTCAAGACGGAGGACACAATTTAAATTTAAAAGGTAATTTTACCAACTGACATATTTACAAGCCATGTTTACACTGATTAACCACAATCACCCCACAAAATCAAGTCCTTAAAACTTAATAGTTAAAATTTCACAGTGAAATATATTTATTACATAACTTTTCACATAATTCACTCTCCATTTTTCCATCCTCCATTGTTTGTTACCAAGAGAGAGAGTTTCCCTTGGGCAGCTTTACCAATACTCTGACAATCTATGAACCTTGATATCAGAGCACCAATACTTTATCCAGAAAAAACACACCTAAATTAAAAAATTCATCTGGGCAAAGTTAGCCACGTCAATGTTAAGAAAAAACTACTTTCAAGCGCCCACATTTATTCATGGGAGGTGAGATATGAGCCATTTTATACCAGTGTCAGAAGGTGTGGTGTCTGTCCTGCTCCAAATTTTTGTATCAATAAAGGGTATTTCCTGGCCAACAGAAGCTATGGGGTTTCCTTCTTCCAATCTTGTTGGCAGTCTGATACCTATACAACAATCCCTAGCCCCCTCAGCCCTCTGCACTCAGGGACTCTTAGTCCCAGCAGTCAAGAGAGAGGCTGTTAATTCATGCGTGGCTTCAGCAAAGGTCACAAGATGAGGACTTTAGAAGTGTGGAGTAACTGTTCCTTAATATGCTTAAAACTTTTGCTTTCCTAAGGCTTAAATCACATGATGTGTGGCTCTAGCCAATGTTGGTACACTTAGTAGGATATTTACAAATTCAATCTGAAATGCAGCATTTACCAACATGTCATTATTCTCAACGAAAGAGCACCCAGTACATTAAACCAAATCATAGGCATGCCTGAGACACTGGTAATGGCATGGCATGGCCTCATCAGCAGGTTCTGACTGCAAACACAGAGCAGAAAATCGACTCACACCATTTTATGTATTCTGACATGTCACTTTGCCACTTATTCAAAAAAAAAACGTATACTTTGACACGACAGAAAAATGCATTACACATAATGATGGTTAAAAACAATGTACTGTGGGCAGTTTCTGTAAGCTTGAACATTCAACACAATCAATTCTTGCTTCTTGAGAAAAATTTATCTTACCTCTTTTCAGTTATAATATGCTTTCTTCTAATATAGATAACAGGTAAAGTGGACCAAGGTCAAATTTTCATGGCAACATCACTTCCTAGGACATTTGAAGTTAATTTTGAAAGGTGCTTGTGCCACATAGATGGAGAACTAGTGGTGGGAAGAAGGAGCTAGGCCACTGCTGAAGCAAGCTGGAGCTTGTACATTTAGAATTAACCACAGTTAGACATCTAGAGTGGTTAGAGTGGTGAAAGATAAAAGGCAGTGAGTGACACCTGGACAGAGAGCATCATTTACTCTGTAAATTCCATACATGGAATATCCATAAGAGATTTGGTAAACATAGAGAAAGGAGCCAGGAGCACTTCCCAAATAACCTGGGAAATACATGGGTATAGGTAGCAGTGGTTCTCTGGAGGCTATATTAAATCTGAAGGTGAACTCTAAAGAAATGTTTTTTAATCTCCCTGACTCTATTCCTTCAGCTGCTTTGACCAGGTGAGGGGAATATGGGAGGGAGACGATGACATGCCAGCTGCAGTAATTCTGAGGGTCCCTGGACTTTTAAGGTCACAGATCAAATTATGTTTAATCCTCTTTTGAATACTTTCTCAATTGTTAATGGAATTATGAAAGCAAAGTCAAATGCTCCTTTTGACTGGCTGGGAGGCTCCTGAGCCAAATTGTTTATTTGAAAACAGAAAAACAACAACAACAACAAAAAACCCAAATGACTTCATATTTGAGATAAGACTTCTAAGAATTTAAAGAATACAAATCAAAATGTTAATGTGGTTTAGAAGCACAGTGATTTAGCTATCTATTTGTTCTGGCCTCTATTCTTATTTTCAAAAAGTAGGCAAAACATGAAAGAAAATAAAGCAAAGATAAGCATAAGTGGTGGCTTTTGCCACTGGGCCTTGTAGCCAGATGCAGACATAAGGAAGGACATTTGAGCTTTACCTCAGTTCACCAGCCCAAAGGCTCTGCTCTGGTGCTTCATAGCACCAGGAAAGCTGGTTCAGAAAGGGCTGTTCAGACTGTTGAAGTAAAGACACAGAATGACTTTGGTAGAAATAGCAGTGACTAAAGGGCAAAGATGCCATAATGTGGACTCAAAACTAGCTGTGTCTCCAGCTATGTTTGCAACTCACAGGGAACCCAAAGCACTAAGTGAAAGGAACACAGAAACAATCAAAATTTCTCTTCGTCTTACATACAGAAGCTATTTTGTAGAGAAAAGCCAAAACCAACCACTCTCTTTCTGAGTGAGACTCCTACATTGAAGGAGTAGGTAGCCCTGAGCCCCTCCAAGATGGATAACTACAGGACCTAATGGCTGCATCCAGCAAAGAAATCATAAACAGATATTTTAGAAGAAATCAAGAAGGAAAAACAAAGACTTCTGACAAATACAAAATTCTGTACAAAACAATTACCTCAAAAATTCAGTGTGACCAGGTGGGGAAAAGAATATTTTCAAATTCACCTCAATGATATTCATGATTTATAAAACACAATGATCAGATTCTGGTCTTTCTCACCATCCCTCCCCCAATACTCTAGAGCCCTCCTATACCTGATATTTCCCCTATCCCAACCCAAACCTAGCCCCATTCTGTTCTTAGATTAATTTGCTTAGCTGCTGCACTAAGTCAGACCTGAAGACACATGGATTGATGGAGGGTTAGTTGGATTCTGATTAAACAATAAGCCAAAAGTATGGGAGAGAGTAGATGAGGGAGACATGGAGCACATCAGTGTGGCCAGTGGACAAAGCTGCTACTGACATCCCAAATAATAAGCATCTTCCTGCAGCACAGAATACTCCACAGCCAGGTTAAAACTGAGGTAGGGAAGAGTATGGAGGCTGTGGCTGGCCTGTTTCCCATGTTGAGTGTGTGTGCTCTTGGGATGGGTACCAAAGTACTGTTTTCTTCCCAGTGCTGCTGTCATGCTCTCCTCTGGTTTGAAGGCCAATCTGAACAGAGTCCTGGAAGATCAGTCACTGGTCTTCTGAGGTGCAAATGTAATAGCTCCTTAAACCCCCTGCTCAGCAAGTTCACCAGCAGTTGTACAGACAGATGAGAAAAAACTAGTATTTAGTATAAAAACTGTTTTTCAAATGGTGTCATTCCTATCCTCCTTGGGAAATCATAATTCTTCACGTTTCTGAGGACCTACGGAAAAGGAGAACAGTGGAAAATAAAACAGAATATCCTTAAGATATAATTTGTGTCCCACCATTTTTTATCACTTTTTAAAAGTTTAGGAACTTTTGCTTGATGTGTTTACGTTGTATTTTGAAAGCAAAGAATAAAGGAGGCATTTAATATTTTTAAAACTATTGAAACTACCTTCAAATCCCCAATCCAACTGAATAGTTTCCACATGTGCAATCTTTACTTCCAGTTGGTCTAAATGCATACATTTTTAGTCAGGATTCCCTTTTCTCACTTAATAGCATATAAACATTCTTACCATCTATCAGTATAGCTGGAGTTCTGGTGTGATGCTGTGGGTTAATGCACCACACTACAAAGGCATTTGAATTGCAAGGTCGGCAGTTCAAGCTCACCAGCTGTGCCTCAGAAACCCTATACAGTGTCACTATGGGTCGGAACCAACTCGACAGCACTTCACAACATCAGTATAGCTCATTTAACTTTCCCTCTTATTGGATGTTTAAATTGCTTTTAGTACTTTTGCATTACAAATACTTGTAGAATAAATATTCTTATGTATTTATTCTACATAAGTATATAACATATTCGACACAAAGTATATAACTTTTTTCTTATGTTAAATTATTTCTTTAAGGTAAATCTTGAGAGGACTTTCTTCTTATTTGAACAGTATTTATCCACATTGCCCATTTACTTATGGAAATCTTTGAGGCTTTAGCAATAAATTGAAATTAAATTTCTCATGGCAAATATATAATCAGTTATTTGTGATATCTGATATTATGTGGTAGTGTTCAGAATGTTCTTTGGCAATTATTCTTTTAGAATTAATTTTGAGATGAGTAAATCTTAAAAACTAGAGTCAAGTGAATAAACTTTCTCAATTATATTAAAAAAGTTTACAAAGGTCACTTTAGTATTCTGGTGATTTTTTCAAGTGGTTATCATTTAAGATGCATACATAATTATTGTTGTTAAGTGCCATTGAGTCGATTCTGACCCATAGCAACCCTGTATAGGGTTTCCAAGGAGCAGTTGGTGAGCTCGAACCGCTGACCTTGCAGTTCGAATGGCTTTGCAGTCTGGTGCATTAACCCACAGTGCCACACCAGGGCTCTACATAGTAGGAAAGTATTATACAAAGACTTAACTTCTCTATTTTTAGCCCCAACCCAATGTGCTTATCTAAAAATTTTTTTCCAACTCCATATGTAGTCTGCCTTAGTTTTGTCTATTTACTCAGACAAGAGGTCTCCCAGATAAGTTTAGATTTCGTTTATGTATCACAAAACTAATAAATCTAAATAAAATAATCAGAATATCACCTAACATTTGCATTTTGTTATTATTAACAATCTGCCAGTGAGTCAATTCCAACTCATGGCAACCTATATTTGCAGAGTAAAAATGTTCTATAGGGTTTTAAAGCTGTGATCTTTCAGAAACAAAGAGGTAGGACTGTCTTCTTCTTAAACTTTTCTTTTTTTAAAAAAAAAACAAAAAAACTTCTTATCCACTCTATCCAGGACCTTGTAATGTTATCACTCTTTCAGAGCAGTTGGTGGTGGTAGTCAGGTACCATCTAGTACTGGATTCAGGGTCATGGCGGCTATGAGAATTGCCAATCTTTTGGCTAGCAGTTCAATGTCGAACAATTTGTGCCAAGCAAAGACTCCTAACTTTAGAGGACTTTTACAACAACTGATCTGAATGCAGGGTGCTTTAGAGAACAAGTTACCCCCTGCAAACATACTTAACACTCAAAGTAAAAATCAGTAGGGGCAGACTGTCAATGCATTAGCAAAAACTGTTTAGAAGGCCAACTGAAAAAGGAAAATGAAAAAATAGTTTGTTGTTGTTGGGATTAATGACTGAAAGATTTTTCTTTTATTTTTTCCTCACTATTACATTGTTTGTGCAATAAACAGAAATGGAAAAAAAAAAAAAAAGCACTTATTCTAAAGTAACAGGTTTGTATTTACCTTCTTGTCTTGACTCTTTTGTTGTATTTTCTTTAGACAGTGGTCCTGCTTCCTTCTCTTTTTGAAAGCGGATTTGTAATTGCTTGATTTCTTGATCATAGTCCTGCCACTCTGGAACAATTCTCATAGCTGCTTCCAGTTTAGGCTCTTTGGTCATTGGATTATTACACTGTGAAAACAAGACCATACACTTCAGCTGAATTTAAGAAAGAGCACATTATATACAACTCAGTTGTTTCTCCTCTTAGGTTACAAGTCCTCACAGCCCAAGAGGATCAGGGCAATGATATAGGATCAGAAGCAAAATGGTAAATGGGCCAGAAAGCCACATTTACTTCTGCTACTAAGTAGCTTTGGCTGCTATCATCAGAAGGCAGGAAAAGTAAGTCTATCCAGAAAAATTAACCAGCCAGGAGATGGTTCAGAAGCCAAGCTGTGAATTACAAAAAAAGACATCAACACTGGAGTCCTGGTGTGGCACTTTAGGATAATTACTGGACTGCTAACCACAGGTTGATAGTTCAAATTCACCAGCTGCTCCTCAGAAACCCTATACAGGGTTGCTATGAGTTGGAACTAACTCAACAGCACTTAACAAGAAGTGGTGAGAACAGTCATACTAGGCAATTGAAGATTTGGCTTTTATCATCTCTTGCTACAAGTATAAATAAGAAATGCTGAAATTACTATAAAATGTTGTATAATCCTTAAACTGTATAATCACAAAGAAAGACAGATATAGGTAAAAACACAAACAACTTACCAAATCAATTGTCTTTGCCCTTTTCTTAGAGGCATCATCACACCAAGTCTCACACCAAAGCCATTCTTGAGGGAGTGATTTAATTGGCACCTGATGAATCATGTTATTTGGTAAATCCTGTTTGGCAGAGATAATACAAAAATCTTAAATTAGGGGAAATTTAAATAAATGTATAGTAAATTCGTGATGTTAACTTACAATGTACCACATGCCAATCCCAGATTTAGAATTGAAAGACTGTTTACCAAAAACCTGAGAGATGCTAAAGATTTTAGATTTTACTAAATGTTTGTAAAAACCTCCAGATTTAGGGGAATCCTGGTGTGATGCTGTAGGATAAGCACTGCACTGGCTAACCACAAGACTTGCAGTTCAAACCCACCAGCTGCTCATTGAAAACCATATACAGAGTTGCTATGAGTTGGAACCAACTTGACAGACCTTAACAACATACAACAGTCACGCATAATAAGCAACCCTAAAACTTTATAGATTAAAAATCACAAGTAGCTTGCATCTAGACTTCCCTGTATGAAGGCAATTCTAAGAAAAACAATCATATCTTCTGAAAGACAATTATGTATAGAATTCTGTTAAGTGCTGTCAAGTTGGTTTCGACCCACAGCAACCTTGTATAGGGTTTCCAAGGAGTTGATGGTGAGCCTGAACCACCGACCATAAGGCGCAGACTTTGTAGTCCAGTGCATGAACTCACAGTGCCACCCAAGGACTCCTATGAACAGACTGTTGGTGTTATTGTTAAGTGCCGTCAAGTCGGTTCCGACTCATAGCGACCTTGTGTAGGGTTTCCGAGGAGCAGATGGTGAGCTTGAACCACTGATCCTGTGGTTCAAACTGATTTTGCAGTCCAGTGCATTAATCTACAATGCCATACCAGGACTCCATCTTACACTTCAGTTTTGCCTAAAGGAAGCTGGGCCTGCTCCCAAAGAGGTGAGTTCCACATTTTTCTAGTTAAATTATTTTATGCTTTGAAGTTCTCTCTCAAGAACTTTTGAGTCTGTCATAGTAAAACTGTTCCATTGCCTGAATATTGGCACAGAATAGAATTCTAATGGATTAAAATGTATAAAAATGATCAATTAAGATACTTGTATAAAGAATAATCCAGTTACTAATTGTTCATAATCTTCTGTATGCTGACACAAAATGAACAGTTGATTAAATTATTTTCTTGACCAAAACTTTTTACCAAACTAAAGTTAAAAGTCGCTAAATAATATCATTATACTGGTGTCAGTGTATTTCAATTTCACGTAAATTTTTACAAGCTAATGAATTTGCAGTACTATAGCAGAAAGGTGAAACAAGAAAATAGTATCAGTTCTATACTTAGCTTAAAAAAAGTAGAACTCCACCCCTCCACACAAAAGGTAGACAGGGATGGGCAACTTGGACATTAGCTACCCAATGGGGGGAGGGAAAAAAGTGACTGGCTTACAAGCTTTCAAGAGGGAACCTAGATCCAAAAGGCGTGGAGGAAGGTAGGGTCTCCAGTGAATAGTATCCAGCCTGTCCAGGAAGGGCTGATGAAATGAAATACAGATGGGTCTCTTATGATGCAATAGTGAATAATTGTTATCAGGACTGTGAGGGTTGGAAATCTAAAGGTGGACATTTTGTAGCAAGGAGGGGAGTGATTAACTTTTCAGTCTAGGAGCGGAGGACCCGAGGACCATCAATGGAGAAAAGTGGAGAGCGGGATCCTACCCAGAGAAGCGGTGAGGCCTGAGATGGAGGCAGAGAAGACGACGTCAAGAGATGGTGTGGCTGGGGACTTGGAATCAGGAGATGGAAAGGGGCTGAGGACTGTGGTGGGGTGTGTGTGCAGGCTTACAGGGTACAACCCTTTGGTTGGATGAGGATGCATGGACAGGATGGTAACTATGCCAATGAAATGATAGATGATAGAATGAATGTAAAGCTAATGTTCTCCCATGTAGACTATCACACAATTCACAAAACATTTATTAAAAAATAAAAAGTAGAACTCTACTTCTAGTATTAGTGAACTAGGTAGATGAGACTAAAGCTTCTGGTGAGGACAACTGCTGTTGTTAGTGCTGTCAAGTCAGTTCCAACTCATAGTGACCCTGTATAGGGTTTTCAAGTAGCAGCTGTTGAGTTTGAACTGCTGAGCTTGTGGTTAACAGTCTAATGCTTATCCTTACAGTACCACATCAGGAAAAACTTAAATGCACCACAGAACTAACAAGACAATAAAGAATTACTGGGTCTAAGGTGAACAGAGGCCTAGAAATGTAAAACTGCTTCTCTGGGGTGGATTTTTGACTGGAGTCATATACTGCAGTGAGTTTTTCTGAGGCTTCTGACAGTTACCCAGTGGTGGTGATGGTTGTTTAAGTGCAGTGAAGTTGGTTCTGACTCATCATGACCCTGCATAGGGTTTCCAAACACTTGTGGTAAATTTGGCCAGTGCTTTATCCTATAGCACCAGGGAAAAAGTTCTGTTGAATTCCCTTGCTATGGGTTGGTACAACAAAGGGTTGGTACAACAAAGGTATACAACCACGAATAAAGCCCTCCAAGGACTTCAATCCAGCATAAAATCATCAAAATCTTAAAACTAAATTAAAATAATCTTACATTTCCAGAGTCTCTATGTTCCTAGCAAAAACTAACATAAATTCTCTGTTAGATGGTAGCATTATTTTAGCCCTCAATTCATTTCCACAATTTTGCAAACATAATGCCTAATACAGAAATTACATAGGTACATGAGAAACAATAGAGCAAGCGAGAACATAAATAACAGAATCAGACTCATAGTGGTTCCATAATTAGAGATACCATGCTCCATTAATTAGGAACACCAAACTTCAAAGTAATTAAACTATGTATATATATTTAAAAAAAAAATTGAGAATTTTGTTTTGAAAACAAATAGAAACATAAACTAAAAAATATGCCAACCAAAAAGAAACAAATGATAGGTTTAAAAAATAGACATCTGAAGAGAAAATTAGGAACTGGAAGGTAGGTTAGAAGAAAATAGCGAGAATGAAGTATAGAGAGACTAAAAAAAAGAAATGCAGGAAAGGCTGAGAAACACTGAATTAAGTGAAATGGTGTAACATGTTCTAGGAGGGAGAAAAGAGAGCAAAAGCATTATTTCAAGAAGAATGAGAGAATTTTCTAAAATTGATGAAATAATAAAATCAAGCTGCAGAGTCAAAAATCCCTAGGATTGGGAAGAAAGAGTCCCCCATTGAATACTTTTCATCTTGTCTAGATGGGTCTGGTTAAAAGAGATGGGGATAAAATTCTTATGACTCAATACTGAATAACTATTATCATGACTAATTGCAACTGTTACAATTGTAAAGGTAGAAGTTTGGTAATGAAAACAGGGGAGTAGTTAATCTTACAGTCCAGAAACAAAGGACCCTAGGACCATCAGGTGAGAAGAGCACAAGCGGAATGCAGGCCATTATCCACAGAAGCAGTAATACCAGAGATGGACGCAGAGATGGGGACATGGCAAGGGGGAGCAGATGAGGACTCTAGATTCATGGGAAGAGAGGGACTAAGAGATGGCAGCCAGGAGGCAGACTTACAGAATGTACCCTCTGGTGGTGTAAATTATAATATACGCCTGAGTGTTAAAAAAAAGAAAAAAAGAAAAAAAAAAGAGCTAAAGTAACTAAAGAGCAATACTGTTAACTGATGGTACATGGAGGGGATTATAATCATTGTAATGAAACAAGGTGTATGGTTTGTTGACTGTAAAACTGATCATTTGCCTTATAAACTTTTACTCAATCCACAATAAAAACCTTAAAAACAAAAAAACAAAAACAAACCCTATGATCAAACAAAATTCGAGGGGAAAATGTACGTATATAAGAAAAATCCACTAAAAGCTATACAAAGAAAAATTGTAAACACTGAGGAAATAGGCAGATTATCTTCTTCAAAGGAATAACAACTAGGAGACAACTTTTCAAATGAAACATTGGAAATCACAAAACAATAGAAGGCTATTTAAAATTCTAAAAGAAAATATCAATTTGCAATTTTAAATCTAGTGAGAAAATACTCTTCAAGAAAAAAGGTAAAATAAAGACATTATACAACGAAAACTAAAAATAAAGAAATAAATGTCAGCAGTGAACTCAACTCTGAAGAAAATTAGAGCGTATTCTTCAAACAGAGAGAAGTGTTGTTATTGTTGTTAGGTGTCACTGAGTCTGTATCAATGCATAGCGACCCTATACACAACAGAAAAAAACAAGGCTGGTCTTGCGCCAAGCTCACAATCGTTGCTATGCCTGACTCCACGGGGGGGTGGGGAGGGCGCTTCTTTTTTTCTGACCCTCCACTCTACCAAAAAGGAGCTCTGGTAGTGTAGTGGTTATGAATCGGGCTGCTAATCTCAAGGTCAGCAGTTCGAAACTACCAGCTGTTCCACGGGAGACAGATGAGGCTTTCTGCTCCTGTAAAGATTTACAGTCTAGGAAACCCTGTACAGGGTTGTTATGAGTCCGAACCGACTCCATGGCACACAACAACAACAACAACTCTACCAAAAATGATATCCTTCTCCAGAGACTGATCCCTACTATAAGATGGCTGAAGTATGAGAGACAAAAGTCTGACCATCCCGGCTTCCAAGGAGCACTCTGGCTGTATTTCTTCCAACACAGATGCTTGTTCTTTTGGCAGCCCATGATACTTTCAACATTCTTCTCCAACACCGTAACTCAAATGCATCAATTTTTCTACAGTCTTCCTTACTTTCTGTTCAACTTTCACATGCATATGAAGTTATTTAAAACACCATGGCTTGGGTCAGGTGCACCTTAGTTCTCAAATTGATATCTTAGCTCTTCAATACTTTAAAGAGGTCTTGTGAAGCAGATTTGCCTAATGTGATATGTCATTTGATTTCTTGACTACTGCTTCCTTGAGTCTTGATGGTTGATCTGAGCTAAATGAAGTTTCTGACAACTTCAATCTTCTCTCCATTTATACAGATGTTGCTTATTGGTCCAGTGGTGAGTAGTTTTGTTTTCTTTACATTGAGATGCAACCCATAGGTGAAGGCTGTGGCTTTTGATCTTCCTCAGTAAGTA